AGTGAAAACTTTGGAACAGTGACCAGAATACAGTTAGTACTGGGCCTTTCATGTAATTCTGTTCTGACATTTAAATTTATCATTATTATTATTATTATTATTATTATTTTGTCAGTCGGGGGCTTGAACTCTGGACCTGGGCACTCTCCCTGAGCTCTTCAACTCAGGCAAGTGTTCTACCACTTCAGCTGCAGCACCACTTCCAGTTTTCTGGTGGTTCATTGGAGATAAAAGTCTCATGGACTTTCCTGCCCAGCCTGGCTTCGAACCACAATCCTCAGATCTCAGCCTCCTGGGTAGCTAGGATTACAGGTGTGAGCACCAGCTCCCGACTTCTATGTTCTTCTGTTCTGACATTTAAAATCATCTACATTTCAATGCAACTGAACTCCGTACACCTAAGATGCTGCTTCTTTACCTTGACTCATGTAAATTCCTCTTCCTTGGAATTCGTTTCTCTAGCTCAACTTTTCAAAGTTCCTCTCCTCCCTCCATACTTCATGGTTTTCCCCATCTAGGCTGCACAAAGGCCTCATTGTATACCCTAATTTATTAATTTCCTCACAGAGTGACAGTTCCCTTCCCTAGATCCATGGCAGTTTTGTTTATTTCTAACTTCTCATTTATGTGTTAAACTACATGACTTAAAATAGCTAAAGTCACTGTTACTCAGTGAGCTTTTACCCAGCCCTGTATGATGCATATTTAATTCCTACAGCCGCATAGCTTATTGTCCAGAATTAATCACATGACCACAGTTACAACTAAGAAAGCACATGGTCTTCCCACATGCTGGGTCTACCAGATGAACAAACAGTATTATTATTATCCTCATCCTACCAATAAGATAAGGTCTAGAGAGGTTAAGGGCTTGAAGAAAGTCATTGGAAGAAACAAAAGTGAGACTACTTCCCAACTGCCCCTTCTTCCCCATGACCACCGGGGAAGGGACAGAGAAAGAGCATAGAACTGGGCACTGACGTTAGGTCCAGGCTGGGACCGGGCTGTCCATACAGCCTACCAGATGCTTACTTTAATGAGCAATAGCTTCCTCCTCATGAAATGAAAATGATTTTAACTTACCGGACGGTCCTGCTTTGGTTATGGGTATGGTAGGCCTGGCATACAGTAGGGATAGAGTAAGTAGTGGACACTGGCAGTAGTATTTACCCCTCAGAAGGGACATTTTGGCAGAAGTACTGATTATCTTATTTAAGTCGTCGATGCTGCCTGGTGCTTTGGTACCTGAGCAAGTCATCCTTTCTAAGCAGCACTTCACAAAGGAGAGTGAAACACTCACTGATACCACAACAACAGCAACCAATCCCAATTCCAGGACGGTAGTGTTGAACACGCCTGCAAAAATGAGCAAGATGGAAAAGACAGGGGAAGAAATGTACATCGCAGGAGCTTTTCATACCTTTGGGTAAAAGAACCACAGCAAGCAAGAGTCCACACATGTGGAAACATTTTTATCTTGGTTTGTCATTACTCCTAAATGAAATGTGAGACCTGATTAGCCATAATCACCTCAGCAGCAGCATGGAACTTCTCTTCTTGAAAGTGTTGGAAGCTTTTACTGTATAATGTTTGCTTTGCTTTGGTAAGTAGGAATGAAACCAGTTTTGTTCCCCTTCTGCTTTAGTTCCAATTTGCCAGGATCTTTAAGAGATAGACTTGCTTGTCCTAGAACTTCCCTACACCGCCTTTCTCATGCTGTTTGTTAAAATATGGAATCCTGGTGTCAGCTCCACAACTGAGAAGAGCTCTGATTCACTTTGCCTTTAAGATGTTTCCTTAATTGTTGGTGTACTTAAATTCCAGATTCCTGCCCTATATTTTAGTCTGCCCACCACTGCTATTTTTCTTTCCATTCAAGATAGAAAAAAAAATGCTCTATGGTCACAGTTATAAGAATACTGTTTCAGTATTTCATGGTTCGCAGAAGAAAGATGGTGCTAGAAAAGTGCATCTTAATAATAAACATGATTGCTCTATACATCAGTTCAGCACTTTTCTACTTTTAGTTCTCTAAGGTTGTTTTTTTTTTAGTTTGCAATTATTGCTTTCATTGTTGGGAAGGTTTTATCAAAGAGTAGCAGTTGTAGTAATCGTGCGATGTCTAATATCAAGATGCAGGAGCCGTAGTAATAAGGTTAATTAAGTTTACAAGTTAGCTAATCCCCCAGGATTTGGCAAGGGAGGCGTTAATTTTTATTTTTTGAGACAGTGCATTATCCATTCAAGCATAGGCTGGTCTGGGATTCACAGTCCTCCCGATTTCTGGGATTACAGTCGTGAACACTGGGTACAGCAGGGCGTGTACCTGCCTCTATTCCTAAGATAGAATTTCATCAATGAGTGATGGAAGCTTAGGAAAGTCCTAAGATTGGAAAGTCCGGAAGCAGTGCATCCCGCAGTGTGCATTTCAGGGGTCTTGGCCTGCTTGTCAGCAAGCAGTCACTGTAGGCTTTGCTGCTGCCTTGAAGGTCGGGGACCTTGTCTTCTTCATCTCCGTACCCAGTTCCTGGCACAGAACAGGATGGAACAAGAGGGTGACGTAACTAGGGTGCTATTTTAGGAAGATAAATCTGGCAACGATGAGTGGGATGAGGAGAACAGGAAAAGGCCTGGCAGAGCGGAGGGGGGTGTAGATGCTACCACAGTAACAGGCAGCGGAAGATAATGAGGCTGAACAGGACGGTGGCTGAGGCAGCACGAGTGAATCAGAGCTGTGACTGGGTGGAGAAGCGGAGGAGGTGTCCCCATCACCCAGCCAGTGTGTCTTGAGCATCCGCTGTGGCCAGGAACTGTCGCAGTTCAGGGATGCAGCCAGGAATGGTTTTGTTCTCGTTGAGCTCACATGCCTATTGAAGGAGGTCGGGTTCTCTAGAGAAGGGGAGTCAGAGGGAGATAGACAGAGAGCTCTGTAGAGGAGGGCTACCTATCAGGGCTGGCAGATTGTAGGTCTTCAGGGCAGGTCTATGGTCTGTAACCCATGAGTGGATGCTACAGTCACAAGGCGGAATTTCTTCACAGGGAAACCTCATCATTACTCTGAAAACCTTTCAAATGATTGGATAAGACGTACTTAGGTTATTAAGCATAATCTCCTTTGCTCAAAGCTCACCAATCATAGGCATAATCTACACTTGCATACCAAGGACTAGATGAGTGGTGTCTACGCATTGCTGAGTAGACCCAGGGAGACGCACAGAGGTCAGGCAGGCATGACAGATTGGTGGGGTGTTTGAGGACAGTGGGCAGCTGCTGTGGATCGAGGTTCCAGGAAAGCCTTCTCTGCTCGAGTCCACACGTCCCCATTGTGCAGGGCATGCTGGGACGGGACGACATCAGGAGACACGGCTCCCATCCATGATGTGCAAAAATCACACATGAGCCACCTGCCTCCTGGGTTCCATCAGAGGGACCAGAATACTTGACTTTTCCTGGGAGCGTCACCAGCTGGTGAGCAAGTCTGTGTACGGAACCTGTTTACGGAGAGTACAGTGTGACCCTAGGAAGGCCGGTATTCTAACAGCACCCTTTCTGCTTGTCACCCTCCCGTTCACCGCTGCACTGGGACTGGGGTGGCCTCCAAGGGCCCAGCTCAGGGCCGCTGTACGGTCGCTCTGCAGGAACTGCTCATTCGGCCCAGAATGTTCTTCCTCTTATCCTTCTCCCCTTTGTGTGGGCCATCTCTACAGAGCCCACATGTCTCAGTCTTCCCCCTGCAAAACCTGAGCTCCCGTGTGCACCCCGGTCATGAGTCCCCACACACACACATTCTTTGTTCTTCCGTCAGGCCACTGTCTTCACTCGGTCATCTATCTATATTGTATTTGATGAATGTCTGCCTTTCCTGTTCCCCTAACCCAAGGTAAGAAGCCAGGCCACCATCACCAAGCAGTAAACTTGCAGGGCTTCTGGAACAATCACCTGGAAACACAATCCCATAGCCTGCTTGCTCGCTCTTCCTTTTTCTAAGCCCCAGTCAGGTCTGATCCCATTCATGTCTCAGCCCATCCTTGGCGTGTGAATTCTTCTGAATTTCAGTTAACCGAACTCTTCCCCAAGTCAGGAGCCCAGAACCCCGTAGCACAAAGCACGTGAGCTTTTCAGAACGGTGAGAACAAGGATGAAAAGTGGAGAGCAGGTGGAAATATCTGAGACTCGTGCCCTGAGGAGCAGAGAGTCAGGAATGGATGGAATGTTCTGAGGAAGCCCTCATGAGGACACAGGAAGTACTCTCTCTTTGTACCCCCACCCCATGGGGAAATTCTGGATGGTTCTGCCCAGGATCTAAAGTCTCTGAGTAAGAAGAGAAACTTCTGACTGGAGTAGCGAGTGGGTTGGGGATCCACCTTGCTGCTCCCCCATGCACCTGCTTGTCAGATGAAGGCTCAGGACACGTGGCACTTGACCTTGGCAGTGAAGGTGAGCTAAAGACAGGCCTGCTCCCTCGTGCCGACTCCACGCCGCCCTCCTCACTGGCTACTGTGTTGACAGCCAGAGCAACGTCAGGTGTCCTTTGTGCTGTGAAATGCTCCAGGTACCCCTCTGCCCTTTTATACTAGTACCCAAAATACAAATAGAACTCAGCCTTTGCTCGGTAGCTGTCTTTAGATTTTGTAGCAAAAGGAATTGGAGATTTTTGAAAAAGAGCCTCCATCAAATCCTCCCTCTGGGCCTTGTACAAATTTTCCCACTTGCGTTGTTGCCATTAAACATTCTTCTGGTTGAGAATGAGAGAAATCTCTCCCTTTCAGCATTTCTCTGTCTTCTAGAGAGTGTGAGCTGCAAATCCTGGGAATCCAGACAGATGTGGGGCTGGCTCATCACAATTGATAGTGGAACACACTTCAGCCCAGGACCTAGGTGGCAGGGGCTCACATCTTGACCCTGCCCCTGAGCAGTTCCGTGACCCTGGACAAGTAGCTGGGCTGCAGGGGACTTAGGCAGAGTCTGCACTTACCAGCGCTCTATGGTTCTCATTGCAGGCATCTTTTCCACAAGTCCTGTGTTGACCCCTGGCTTCTAGACCATCGCACCTGCCCCATGTGCAAGATGAACATTCTTAAAGCCCTAGGGATCCCGGTAAGCACAGCACAGCTGACACCATCGTAATGTCTGTCTTTCTGCATTATACCAAAGCAGGGGCCAACTCTTAGCTGGATTTTCTGTGTCCATCCAGCCACACAGCAGTGGCTGTATCCAGTGAGGCCTCCAGAGAACTCAAGAAACATTCCTCCTCTTGCTCTTTCTCAACCTAGGACACCCAGATCCTTGGCTGTGTCATTGTTTTTGTGTGTGAGTCAGGGTGGCAGCAGGCAGCAGGCAGGGACCTCGTCTGGGGGCACTGGGACACCAGGAGACAGGACGAGCAGTCGCCCATTGGCTGCCGTTTGGGCGGCCACCCTGCTCAGTTCTCCAGGAGCTGTGCGTGCACGTTGCTCATCTGGCCTCATGGGCTTCTGGCTGTGACAGGGAAATGACTGTTTCCCCACCCCCAGCACTGGGAAGCAAGGACAGTGGCTGAGAAGTAAGCTCAGAGCCACATTTCTTCAGGGACCTGGATGGAACTGGAAAGTTAAGCCAGAACTGTTGATTCTAGCTCTCCCATAGAGGCGAGTCTGCAGTTCCACGTTTAATCTCCTCCCCAGGGCAGAGAGCCCGGCCAGCTGGCTACATGCTCCAGGGAAAGGCTTTCCCAGAGCCATATCTCGTGAAGCCCACTGGCGATGGCGGTGAGACACAGCCACTCCTAGCAGAGGAGGGCAGGGAGCAGGCCAGGCCCCCGAGTCCAAGCACTGCGCACAGAGATGGGAGGGAAACCACACAAGCAAATTCTAGAAAGCAGCCCCCCTCCCTTCCCCGCAGTCAGTCCATGCTCTCTCCTCACGGCCAATGGCAGAGACTAAAGGGAACATGACCTGCCCCTAGCTGACACTGAAGAGGAGGATCGGATCATGTACTGGAGGTTTCTTTAATGCCAAAAGCCCACTTAAAAATATCAGAGTGACTGTCGCAGATGGCAGAGCTGATGATGATGAGGCCAGGCCCTGGCTGCTTTTCCAGTCTTGGGCCAGCTGCCTTTGTGCCAACCATATGCCCGTTCACAGGATTGATCCGCCACACACAAATCAACCTACATGACGATAGCTCTGAACTACCTTGAAAGACAATGTCTTACATGTTCAGGCCAGAGATGTAAATGCATAGTGTACTCACAGTAAAAATCCACTACAGCCAATGTGAAAGGTTAAGAGAGACTAGCTTTTCTACCAGACACTGGTGACAAAGAAAAAAAAAATCAAACTTCACACCAAGCATGGTGGTTCAGGCCTGTAATCCTGGTTACTTGAAAGGTGGCTGATCTTGATTCCAGCCAGGGGAAAAAGTTTGAGAGATACCATAGCTGGGCGTGGTGGCACACACCTGTTGCCCCACGATGAAGAAGACAGTGGCTGTACACAGTAAGGTTCATCCATCATCCTCAGCAACACAGGGGAAACACAATGCTATTACAATAGCATCACAGTCCAGGCTAGCGTGTGCATAAAGTGAGACTCTACCTCAAAAATAATCAGTGCAGAAGGGAGTTAGAAGTGAAACAGAGACCCTGCCTTAGCAAGCATGAGGTCCTGAGTACACCTGTATTACTGCCAAACACACACACACACATACACACACACACACACACATACACACACACACGGGGAAAAAAACCCCAAAGACTTCCATCTTTGTGTTCTGTGTACTTCTGAGTGTAACTGACTATTTTAAGGGAGCCAGTAAATGTGGGGTATGTGTGTGTGTCTTTGCTCTCTAAACTCTTCACCATCTTCATAATTAAAGGAAGCCAGATTGTACATTGTGACCTAGTTCCTATGGCTCAAAGCCTATGTGTCAGCCTGGATCTTCGGTCAGGATAATGAAACCAAACAACCTCATGGCACTTAAATTTTGGACTAAACAGTTTCTGACTCCAAACTTTTCCCCTCGAGGTAGCTATCATTTCTCCAGGGGCTACTTGCAGAAAAGTTACAAATACGACTATAAATGGCTGCTAAGATAGAATTCCTCGGTAGTTGTTGGGATTGTTCTCAAAAGTACTGAGATTGTGCGTTTTAGCAGTTGAACATTCTGGCTATACTCTAGTGCCTACCAAGTAGAGCAGGATTTTACTTAATTCGGAGGATTTTTCCAAGGATTTTGAACATAACCGTCAGCCATGCTCAACCCGCCGAACAGCACATTCTCCGTGAAAAATAAAGCACAAGTAGCAGGGGATAGCGCAGGAAGCCCAGGCATTTCCGCACCGCCCGCCACAGAGGCCTCTTCTGTTTTGTCCTAGAGAATGGCAAAGTCACAGCTCTGGAGGAACCTGGGGCTTGTTCCTTTCTACGCTAATGAGGTAGTTTCTGTGCCTTCATTAAACCCTGCGTGTCATCTGCAGGCCCTCTTAATTAGAAAAGGCTCCTTCTACCACAGTGTTCAATTGAGCTTAAAGAAATAATGTTAGCGTTTTTAAAGACAGGGTCTCGCTATATATCCCAGGATGGCCTTGAACTTGCCATGTACCCCAGGCTGGTCTCAAACTCATACTCCTCCTGCTGTAGCCTCCAGAGGGCTAGGACTGTAGGCTCGCATGAACCCTCTTGGCTCACCATTTCTTTTTATTTAAAGAACACTGAAAAGACCCGTCGCTCTCTGATAAGTGGTGTCTGTTGATTCCTTCATTTCTGTGTCCTTTTCATGGACTTAAGTATTCGATAAATGTCTGTGAAATTATAGCACTTCCAAGTCTCAAAGGCTTTCAGTCCCAGACTCAGACTTTACAATTTACACTGATTCTCCTTGGAATAATAGCCTTGACTCACAGACACCCTGGCTGTAACCATCACCCACTAGGTCATTCCAATCCAGGCAGTACTGTTATATTATTTTTGTTTGCATTTTTTGATTTGGTTGTTTTCAACCAAGAATCCGTGTACCTGCCCATGCTGTAAGACAAATAGGTGTATGTCAAACGTGAAGAGCTGGAGTCACTTCTTTTTATTGGTGATTTCTCTGCAAGGAGCTAAAGAATGAGAGCACAGCTCATGGATCAAGAAGTGCCCCCCACAGCAGGTGTCTGTCCCCAGTATATTTTGCTCAAAGAACTATCACACTAACCTGGAAGTGTTGGGAGTTCTTGCCTATTGAAAGCAGTTTATCCTTTGGCCCTACAGTACAGTGCTTTGATCCTACCTTCTACCCAGCCAGGTCCAGAGCTGTTTTTGCCCAGATTAGTGGATCTCCTAAGCTACTGTAATAACACCAGCAGCGCCCTTGTCCCACCAACACTGTCCTGATAAAAGTAGGTTGATGGCTCCCTTCTAGAAAAGCCTGTGTACCTGATATTTCCACAGTTCTCCACTCTGTCGATCTATTTTCATTGTCCAATGCTGTGCTGAATTTCTGTACCTTCATGGGATTTGTTTACAGACAGAATTTGATGTCTTTTTTTTAATTCCAATTGTGACTTTTCCTAGAAGTCTGTAACTGGGTTTCATTTCAAAATATTCTGTTGGATGAGCCACCTAGAGTGGATGTAACTGTCAGTTTTCCTTAGTGAACATCTTTCCATAGTGTTTCTTACATTTTGCATGGAACGTCACAGCCCTTAAGGTATTTTCTCAAGTCTTCTTGTCATTCATCGTAATCAGATACATATGTGCCCACGTTTCAGGGCAGGAATCAGAGACTCAGATAAAACATTTCCTGAACACATAGTTGTTGTGAGCAGAACACTTCATGATCCATACCATGTGATTGCTTCTCTTCCCAATGCTCATGGCCAGGAGACAAAGCAAATGCATGATCCTCAGCCACGCGGAATAGGAGCGGTGCTGCAGGACTGGCAGCGGCTGCTTGGGAAGCAACACTGGCTAAAATGTAACATTGAGCTGGAATGAGGGGCCAGGAATCCGCCTGGAGTCAGTTGGAGACCTTGGGGATGGGAAAGGAGTGGTGATGGGGACAGGTGGCACTGAAGAGAGGGACGCACAGCTCCATTTCCAGAGGGTGAAGGTGAGGTCGCAGAGATAGGCTGCAGCGGCTGCCAGGCATCTGCCCTGTCACAGCTGGGAGCTTGTAATGAACTCCAGGGGGGGGGGGAGGAAAGGAGGCTGCCCCTGCTTGTTTTGTCACTTTCTTTTCTCTTTAAAAACATTCTGGTAAAAGAAAAATTGCGATCGAAATAAAGCGAGAAAAGACTAGGAGGAGAGAGAAAGCCTGATAATGGAGAGAGAGAGTTCATGTCCAAATGTCCAAATCCCTCACGATAGTAGATTTCGCGAGTGGGTCATTCTGCAAAGTGAATTTTGACAAATTGAGTTTTAGAGGGTTGGCACCCTTCCAAAAGAGGCAGAGACAAAAGACAGAGACAAGAACGGTCCGCGCTCACTCTGAGGGCCTTCTGCCCGACACTGGAGGCCCCGTGTGGCGTCCACCGCTGAGGGACCCAGCCTCGGGGAAGTAGAACCAGGGCACAGCACTGCACCCCATCCCCAGGAGTCCAGGAGTCTTAATGAATTCTGAATATAGCATGTGATGCTAATTCCAGTGTCCACCCAGAATTCTCTTCCCTCCATCCAGCCATGTGTTCTGCCTATACTGGGAATGGAGAAGCATGGAATTACCACGCATCGAGCTGAAGTTCAGCCCAAAGTACAAAACAAAATCACACCCATTCTTCATATACCTTTCTTCTGTATTTTAAAATGAGTCTGCATGAATTCAGATAGACAACACAACTAAAAGCTCATGTAGGAGAGAGAGAGAAAAATACATTCACATTGCTTAAACAAAGAATGAACAGTTCAGTGAGTAATATTTTTCTCAGTCGTCCCAGTAGTTAGAGGAGTTCAACTCTGGCTGCAACTCCTGCCCAGCTCAGTGGAGCTAACTCTGCTGCTTTGACCTTGGCTGGAGAGCAGGCAGCCAGCTCAGGGAGAAAGGCAGTGACGGAATGAATGAGGTGATCTCACCTTATTTTCATGGTCCTGATTTTGACGTTTAAGATGATGGATCCTGTGTCAAATACATAGGAGGAGTCTTTTTCTGAAGTTAGGCTGTAGCTTACTTTTTCTTGTATTTCTTTTGGAAGAGGGTGCTGTTCCTGGGGCTTGAACGCAACACCTGGGCTCTGACCCTGAGTTTGCTTGCTCAAGGGTTCTTGCTCTTCTACTTGTACCGCAGCTCTACTTCCAGCTTTTTGGACTTTCCTGTCCCAGCTAGCTTTGAATTGCCATTCTCAGATCTCAGCCTCCTGAGTTGCTAGAATTACAGGCATAAGCTACCAGACATGCAGCTGGCTTATTTTTTTAAGCATCCTTGCACAGTGTTTTGTGTATGTTTGTTTGTGTATGTGTATCTTTAATGAGCACTTCACAGTGAGTCAGACTCCTCTCTCCTCCAACTTTTCTCCCACCAGTATATTTGTAAATAGTGGTGAGTCCCTGGGGATAGTTACTAAGATGCCAACTCTATCCTATGTGGCAAACACCGCATAAAAGGAAATTCCCTCAAAAATAAATATCCCTTGTTCCTCCAACATATTTAAACATGGAAATCTTGCTGCTTCTCCAATTAAATCTGCAGAGCTTTCTCTAACAGGAGCCTTTGTAAGGAAATTTTGGGAAGATCTTTACATGTGAATGTTAAGACTTTTTTCATGTGAACGAACTATATTATAGACTTTAAACAAATAATAAAGTAGCTGGAGAAGAAAACAGTAGAAAAGTTAATTTTCTTTTGGGACGACATAGTCTAGAGACATCTCATGTGTAAGTGAGTGGCATGCTCTGAGAACAGGCTCTCCTCTGCCCTTAGCCCAATGCGGACTGCATGGACGACCTGCCCACTGACTTTGAGGGCTCACTGGGAGGACCGCCGACCAATCAGATCACAGGGGCCAGCGATACCACCGTGAACGAAAGCTCAGTCACTTTGGACCCTGCCGTGCGGACGGTGGGAGCCTTGCAGGTGGTCCAGGACGCAGACCCCACGCCCCAAGAAGGTGAAGTCATCTTTACGACTAACAGTAAGTTCTGTGGTGCCTGACAGAGCCATGGCCCTAGGGCTCTGGCCTTGTGGGAGCTGGAAGAGGAAACCCTTCCCCAGGCAGCCAACGCAAATCACATGAGTAGATCATGGCCAGGCATACCAGTCATAGCCGCCCGGCTCTTAGAAGCCAGATCATTCCAGAGTCAGCAGGACAGATGGCAGACAGGCTCTGGGTGTCCACACTCTGGCCTCTGGGGACACCTGGACATTCACCACAGCCCTGGATGTTCTCCCCGCCCTTCCCCATCCCCCCAGCAGGTGGGAGAGGGAGCTGGTGAAGAAGCGACAGCAGGAGACGATTTCCCCCTCCTCTGTGTGTGTGTCCTGCACATGTTTGTTCGCTCGAGCCTCCCAGGAGTGCCTGTGGCTAGGAGAGCTTGTCTGGCGCGTGTACACGTTGCTGTGCGGGACCTCTATTATTTTTATTTAAAAGACAAGGTCTTGCTGCTGGCCTGAAAGCCTGGGTTCTAGCAATGCTCCTGCTCTAGCCTAGCAAGTAGCCGAGACTACAGGTGTGTCCCATCCTATCCGACTTAACACATTTGAGTTTCATTTGGATGTGACCATTCTTCCTCGCATCTCCCGCACAGACTGCCACTGAACCCTGTTCTGTGTGATGGTAGTTATCAAAAAAAATTTTTTTTAATATCTGTGTGAGCATGAAGATTGAAGGTCAAAGCTAAAGTGCCTACTATTTAATTTAATCGAGTAAGAGATAAAAGCTTCAGGAGTTCTAAGAAAAATCAGCATGCAAATTAACTGAGGTTTAAAGTTAAAAGAGTAGGTGGATAATGTAATTTTTAAACAGAGTGCATTTCTTTCTCTTGATAGAAGTAACCTATTCAGTATGGAAAAATGAGAAATATAAAGAAGCAGAATGAAACATCTTGGGATGTTGCCTTTTAAGTCAGCGTCTCATTTTTTATGTCTTTGTGATTTTTATAGATCTAAAAATTATGCTAAAAAGTAAAGATAAGCATTTCAATATTAATTCTTGAAAGATAGGAAGGGAAGAAGGAAAAAGAAAGAAAGGAAGAAAGAAAGACAGAAAGAAAAGAAAGGAAGGAGGGAGGGAGCAAAGGAAGGAAGGAGGGAGGGAGGGAGGGAGGGAGGGAGGAAAGGAAGGAAGGAAGGAAAAGAACCAGAATACCATTATTTAAACTTAGTCTCTTTTTAACATTATGGTCTATTTCCTCACCATCTTTTCTGACAGAGATGAGATAGTCCTATAGAGTTCAAATGCTCTCTAGAAGATTTCAAAGAAGGTAACCTAAAGAGAAAGTGACTTTTAGAGGTGTAAAGACCTCAAGATGGAAACATTGCTCACTGGATAGTTAAACTTCTGATGCCTGTTGAGTTTATGACAGCTCTACATTGAGGCTAATAATAATGCAATACCAGGCAAATATATGCCACAGTACAAAATTTAAAAAACACATGCGTAAAGATCATTTTAATAACATGCTTTACTTAATCAAGAGATCCAAAATATCTTATATTCCTTTTTGTGTCCTGTCTTCAAGATGTGGAACACATTTTACGCTTACAGAATATTTTAGTTTAGACTTGCCACTTTCCAAGTGCCCAGTAACCATGTAACCGGTGGTTACCATATTGGAGAACACAGATGTAGTATATCAATAATTTAAATAGGAGAAACTTAAGGATTATTATTATTATTGCCGGTATAAACTTCTAATTTTGACCATGAAAAAATTGTGAGCAGAGGATAAAAATGTGTGACCCAAGTCAAATGATAAGTTCCCTTTTTAAGAAGAGGACAGTCTTATGATGTTTCCCTATATTGAAAGCCTTCCCTCACACCATGAGGCATATAGTCACACTGATGATTTTTTATCACCAGTTCAAAAAAAAAGAAAGAAAGAAAACTTTAAGACATAAGCATTTTTTAGGACTGTAAGAAGAACAAAATAAAAATTGGATGAGGACTTGATTTTCAAGAGATAATGTGTCATCTCTTAGATTCCTCATTTTGAAAAGTGACCGCATATTTCATACATCTCGGGAAATCGCAGAGGACCTAAAAGCATTTTAAATTCAGTGTGGATTAAATAACGTCCCAAATGAAATCGATGTAAGTATGCCATGGGTTAACAGCCAAAAAAATGAAATAGAAAATTACGGTCTGTATCTGACTCCTCACCTGTGAGCTGTTTGGACATAAAATATAGCTAGTGTTGAAGTTATAGCAGGCAACCGTTAGAGCTTATTGAATATAAATAAGCCTGAAGCTGAACCTTCAGTTTACAACAGGAGCAAGCTAACAGGTAGTTTCAAAGGAAGGGTTGGATGAAGAGACAGAGAGAATAAACAGTATCTAAAGTCAGGAGCCTAAGTGGAAGATGAAGAGTTTGCTTCGTTCCTCCTTGTCCTTGTCCATTTCTACCCCTCTCCCTCTTTTCCTGGTGAGTAGAGCTTGCATGCTTGTAGGTCCAATGTGCATTAAAGACATTTCAGCACTTTTAGGGGGAGGGTGGGAACAGATTGTGTTCAGAGGAAAGATGAGATGGATCTGACATTAGAAAAAAAAGTTCCATAAGGAAAAGAAAAGTAATTACAAATCCAAGAAAACCCAAGCTCTTCCAAGAGGCATCTTGGAAGAGGCATTCTTGCTTATGTGTTTTTAAACATTTCTGACATCCTGTCTTCTGTAACCTCGTGTGGCAATCAGGATCCCAGTCTTTCTCCTCCCTGTCAGTGCGGAGGGCTGAGTGCATGAATTCCCACATGCCACTCAGCAGCTTTTATCTGCAGGCCCAATCATGCCAAAACATACTTTGCCTCTGACTCCCCAGCTTTGGCTGAAAATTACTGTGCTTGCTTCTACAGGGAAAATAGTTTCCTAGGAACAAAGGAAAACATAGCTAAACAAATAGCCCTGTGTCTTTGGAGACTCCTGAGTGGAGATAGAGAAAGACCCTAAGGGAGCCTTTATTAACCCACAACCCTTCAGTGCCACTCCACATCACATGGGGGTGGGGGCCCTAGAAATTTCCCTTTATTGTTCAAGGAGATTGTAGAATCCACCACCCATTTCCTTCTTTCCCTACCAATGTCCTGTGGTATTTCCTAAAGATCACTACCATTTGCCTTCCATCTCTAATTGGAAAGAAACCACTGTAGATGCAAGGGATGGAAGTAGAGAGAGGTAGAATCAAGTCCACCCGCAGGACATTCTGAAAAGCAACTGGCAAGATGCATGTGGCCATGTCTAGGCTTTGAGCTTTCCAGATTGGAAAAAAAAATCACAGGAATTATTATGGAGGCTAGTAATTCACTGGCTAGGTGAAACGCAAGGTAGTCCAAGTCTCTGGGAAATGTCTTCTGCCAACGCTCTGTCAACTCTGGTCCTCAAGGGAAGAGTTGTGCGTCTACTGTATTGAACACACATGGCTAGTGACATTGCCGAAATGCATCTTAATTTTGCTGTACTGACACTGAGAATGCATCAGTGGGTGCGATGTTCCCACACCTGGATGAAAACTCCAGCGGGCCCAGGAGCGGCCTGTTTATTCTTAGGTAACTGACAGTTCTAAGAGTCCCTTGAGGTCCCAAACACAGACACCAAACAAGTTGATATTTCTGACGAGCCTCAAACACTGGCACAAGAGTTCTGATGAGCCCTTTTCCTTCCACTCCCAGCATCTCAGGAGAGAAGGATGTGTGTTGCTGACACACAAGTCCTTCTGCAACCTGCAAGCCTCCGGCTGTCCATTTTGAGCCACAGTCTCCTACAATCCCCTTGCCCATACAGGAGCTCATTTTAGATAAGACCCATGTTGACCCCCTGTCTAGCTTGCTCTCCTACCTGGCCACAATGATAGAGACACTCACAGATCACCTCTCCCAGTCCAGCAGGACCCTCTGTAGACAGAGGAGAAATCCATATCCACCCTTGGCTAAAACAGAACGCTTAAGCTTTTCTAAAGTTTGAGTCCAGTGTGGCTGAGTCCCACCTACATTGACCCCACCTCCAAACCCCTCAGGAGCATCCTTCATAGACCTAGAGATTGACGAATATCCTTTCCCAACCCATCAGCTGCAGGAGGAGATTCACCATGACAGCACTCTATCCACAGACAAGCTCCATGCCGTCATCTGCCTTCTACCGCTCTCCTCTTTTCTCATCTTTACAGATCATGGGATCACTGCACAGGTTTCCTTCGTATCCATTGTCCATCTCAATAGGAGAGTGGTGGACCAGAAGGGTCGGTAAAGTAGGAGAGTTGGTCTCCTTTTTCTTTGATATCGATACCTCTTCAGGAGAAATTGAGGCAGGGAAAGTCCTATGGAGCATGAAAGAATTCGTTTCTGAGTGCTTTTGTGATCTTTGCCTGAACATCGTAGTTTTAGCTGGTGTCAGTGCCTAAACTGAATTTCCTTTTTTAAAGAAGCTAGAGATATTAAACTCTTTGGGGTTAGAATACTTTTGTTTATACAAATAGGTAATGGTATGTGTACGCATATGCTCGTATTCTTCAAAGTGTGTGCGGACAAAAATACCTGCTGTGGCCTGGCTGGAGTCGTTGTTTGTGTCAGCTTTAACAGTCCTTGTGTTGGGCACACAGGACTCTCCAGGGACACACATTTCAAACTAATTATGGAAAATGAAAAAAAAAATTAAAAAGTTCATTTAGAGACTTGTGTTTAGTCTCTGAAATGACCCACTTTCTCTGACTCAGGGAACTCCATGGAAACCTCTGGAGATTCTTCACTGCTAGACACACACTCACTTAAAGTAAGACCAGAAGTGGATTCACTCCCATTTTCTACAGCCTGTGTTTTTTGGGAAGCAATGGATCAAGTATTTGGAGTATCTGCTGTATTCAACAGTTTTAAATGCTGTGAGGCTTGCTCTGACACCAACCTGAACATGGAAATTAAAAAAAGATATATTCAGGGTTTTTCCAAGGAAGCTGATCTTCATGAGTCAAAACAGCTGAAGGAAAGAGAGAA